TGTTTTTTTTTGTATCCAGTTGGGCAGGAAGAAGGCTGTCCTCGTATTATTCAGAGCAAACTGTTGAGAACATTCACTGTGGAGACTTTCAACAATGGCAGGTGCGATGGTTATGCAAGTTTCAAGTCATCTTGTAAAATGTCTGCATTGGCTGCATTTGCTTTTCGCTTGGTGAATGCATGCATTTCATGACCACTGGGACATGTCTGTGATTTGATTTGGTTGGATTGCATTTGCAGCTGTTATAATACATGGAAATCACTTTTCACTTTCCCTGCCAAATTTCAGCGTTCCATGAACTAAATTGCTGTAATCTCTCTTGTAGTATTTGGCACCACTTTCCACACCCAGATCTATGTTATAGGTCTTATTAATGTATTTGTTGTCGCCCTTTGTCTGGCTGGTTTAGCTACTCAGTCTTGCATACATACAGATATAAATGTCACTTTTTCACCTCAACTTTTCTTTTCAGGGTCCAGAACATGGTGTCTTCATCAATGCGTGCAAAATTAGCAGCCTACTCTCTGGCCCTGCTGCTGCACGTGGGTCACATGACCGCTGATCTTACATTACTTCATCGTGACTTGGGAATTAGTGAGGCCAGGTAAATAAAAAAAAAAAGACTGAGTCTGCATTTGTATATATAAACTTTAGTATTGACATTAAGGGGATTTTTAAAGACCAGTGTGTCAGACTCAGTGGCATTCATGGGTGAAGTTCTTTTATTCAGGTGATTATACTCTAATAAAAACATACCAATGACTATTATATTCTATTTCTACTAATAGATCCTCCTAAATGTTACACACTGGAAATTAAAGAACAATAATGTTACAACATATAATTAAGGTCAATGGTGTCAACTGAGTTGGATGCATTGATGTGAATTACTTTTTGATGATAATCATTAAACATCAGATTCCAGTGGCAGTTCTCTTAATGTTGTGTATTACTCATTATCACACCACATAAAACACTGTCAATATAAGGTGTATTAGACCTCTTTCAGTATTTACAGTAACTTTTTTTGTGTGTCTTTCTATAGGATGACTGAAGTAGCAAAGTCAATGGGACTGACCCTAATAAAACCAGCCCGGGGGAAGTCTAACGAGGATGGCCTGCGAGATGAACACAGGCACGCCTCCCTTGTTCTACCTCTGGTAAAATACGATCAGTTCACGGAGAGACGGAAACGCAAGAAAATGCACTGAAGATCGAGATAAGAAAAGACAAGAATCGGATACAGAAATCTCACAAACAAGAACAGTTTAATAATGTATTTTGTAGACAAATAAAGTGGAGAACTTTGAGTTGTACATGTTGTTCCTTAATGCGTACTGTGCAAGATACAAAAAAAGCAGAGTAATGAGCTGTAACAAATTCTAGATGACAGAAAACATCTTAGCTTAGACGGTCCAAAAAATAAAGAACACAATAAGTTAGACGTATAGGCACATTTGTAGACAGCACATATTGCACACTGAACATTTTTCCTTCTATAGCTGGCTATTACCGGGTGAGTCTGTGGTTGTGTCACTGTGCAGCGTGTTGATAGTATCTTAAATGATAACTTGTCCTCTCTCGCTGAATTTCACAAAGTCAAAGAAAGCTGAAGTGCATCATGTTCTCAAACAACAATCAGGGCAAGATACCAAAAACACAGACTCACCGGGAAACAGCAGCTCTCTGCAAGAGGCAGAAGCTTAAGTTTGGCTTTGTTTTTTTTGCATATACACCTCACACTATGACAACACCTCCCCTAGCTACAATCGTTGATTGATTTTAAAAAGTCAAACAAGGCACAGCTTTACTTTGTAGCATGGTTGAAGCTGGCATCTCTGACACCTCTGGCTCCTGCTAGGATTTTATAAATGTGCACTTCCTAACCAGTGAGTCTCAGAAGCAAACTGACAAAAACAAAGTCTACAGCAGTTCTGTACATGAATATGCAAGTAAAAGGACATGATTAAGTTAAAGCTTCAGTATGGAAATGGTTGTTTAAGACGATGAGTTAATGTGCTTCACTTCATTAGTCAACATTTGACGAGCGCATTGGAATTTTATCATAAACCTACAAAGTCTGATTTCAAATTTACAAAATGTTGTGCCACCCTAATGCACTGGAAGGTGGATGGCCCCTTTTAGTGGTTATACTCGGAGCAGCCTCTTGCTTCCTGGACAGTTACTCATCGGGAGGGCATCATTTTGGAAGGTCAGTGCTCCACATGTATGATGTACAAAGTGACCAGATGTTGACATTTCCGGAAAGTCATTCATATTGGTTTCCGGAGTGTTCGGCAGGATTCACAGGATGGAGCAGAACATGCTGCCGCTGTGGCAACCGCTTTCTACTGTGGCGCTGATCCTGGTCGTCATAGAAATTCCAAGTCGGGAAGGATATTGGGATGAGGAGAGGCCAGAGGGGGAGCTGGCCAGTGGACGAGGTGGAGGGTTTTCCAAAACCCAGGGAGGAGCAGATGTACAGCTACAAAATTCAAAGAGATAAAAATGAATCCGTGCAGATGTTACCTGCAATAACTGATTTGGCTAACAAGATGTAACCTCAGGACTGACATATCACATTTTAAGATGACAGATCTCTGACAGAAGTCTTAAAGCAAATATCTGGCTCCTTAAATGCTCAATGCTACACTATGTTCAGATACAGAAAACAACTGCCTTTCTGTGGCTGAAAAGGATGCTATGAGATCAGTGAGAGCGAACCAAAATAGTAAAGTTGTGGGCTGGACATCTAAACACTGAGCTGAAACTCTCTTTAAAGCCTCTGTAAAGCCTAGCAGAGCTGTAGATTCAGGTATAATTTAGAGATGATTATCTACAAGTTCATCTCTATAGGCGACCTCTTTCACACTCATTCATTTGACACATTGTTGTAATGTGATTATTGCTGCTTTACGTGTGTGGACAGCAGAAGGAAAGGGAGAAAGAGCACAGACAGTAAAGCCTCTGTTGGTCTCTGAATCTCTGGCACTTTCTGTTGGTTGCCTAGTTACCTGTTATTATGCCTTAGAACACTGTTGTTGCGCAACACACAGCTCTCATTGCCAGGATCCATATGTAGCAGTGTTTTTTTGTTTCCTGGGTGGCCCTGGAACAGGAGATTGTCATGGACAACACCTTTTACTGGCCCTAGCACAGCGATTCCACAGCCCTGCGCTGGTTGGACACGGTTGCGCAAAACCTAAAGATAAAAACGATAAAACCACAGAAAAGCTCAGAAGTGATGTGTAAATATTTCATAAAGTACAGTGCTGTAAAAGTAGACATCCCTCAGGCCACCTCACCTTGATGTCAGCACCGCCAGAGATTTGGATGCCATATCCACGGTTCCCAAACACATCATTCTCCACAATCTGCCCGTTGCCACTGAAACCGACACCGTGCCCACTGTTTTTATAAATTCCGTTGCCACGAAGCTCCACTCGGCAGTCCTTCTCCACCGTAACACCACCTCGACCGTTTTCAAGAATGCAGTTTGTAACCAGTCGGGTCAGCTGACTGCTCTGCAGCACAGCGACGCCAGTGCCACGATTGCCGTTTACGAGGTTGGCGAAAACATTCAGGGGCTCACTGCTTTTCACGTACAGACCGACTGCTGCAGAAAGGGAACGATGGAGAGAACATTAGAGACGAGAAGTGAGTGACTTTGACACTTGACACTACTCAACAGGTCTATTTATTACCGCCATTGTAGTTCATGCAGTTGCTCTCCACCAGGGCCACACTGATGGAACGGCGGGAAGAGTGGCGCTCATCCTCACTGTCCAGATCGCTCTCCCATGCAAACAGCTCCCCCTCCTCATTCAAGTTCTCCTGCCCTTCTCTCCCTTCTGCTTCTACCCCCCTCCTTTCCCCGCTGCCACCTTCTCCCCCAATCCCTTCTTGCCCCGGCCAGTTCCCATCCCTGGCCTCAATGTTCTCTGGGTCCTTCCTGCAGAACACCGCCAGCCCATACATACAGTTATGGGTGATGTAGTTTCCCAGAAGCTGCGGGAGGCTGGACGACATAACCCACACACCACAGCCTTTGTTACCTGAAGAAACGAGAGGAAGAGGAGGAATTAAACATCCGTGCTATGGTCGGTGAAGACAAGATCAAAGATGAGCGGTTATGTCAAGGTAAGTGTATGACATTGGTGTTAGCAGGCTGAAATGACATACAATAGACATGGTTTCCCTCAATAAGCCCGCGACCTCTCTCCCCCACCACGACGCCATCTGAGTAGCCATAACAGATGTAGTTGTTCTTCAAGATGGGGTCACCTCCTCTGCGAATGTCCACGCCCCCCCACTGGTTCTCTTTGATCACATTCTCTAGAATTAAAATGTATTTATGTGAGAACAAATCAGGGTTCGGAACCACAAATCATCATTTTAAGTGGCACAGTAGGACAGATCCACTTACACACCTGTTATAATCCCTCTGCCGTTCTCGTTTATAGCTATCCCGGCTGCCTGGCCCTGGAAGATGTGATTCCCACTAAAAGGACAGAATATGAGTATAAATATTGACCAAGTATATATAGTAACCTATGCAGAAACGTGGGGCTGGACTTACGTATGTTACAAACTGCACCCCTAGCATTGCATCTTACAACATTATGCAACACTGCTTACACCATAGTTTCACTGTAAAATGCCACTGCACTGCAGCAGTCATGGCAATTATTATAAATTATCAAGCCACACACCAACAGTTTTCCATCTAAAGGGGGTTTCAAGGGTTGTATGGAAATTTGCATGAATGGTTGCTAACACAGAACAGAACGGAACCACAGAACATGTTTTTCTTTTTATTGTACTGAACTCCAACGTTGCACATGTTTACAAGAGTCCCTGACAGACGGACCTGATTTTGGTAATGAAAATCATCTTGCCACAGGCCTTTTCACAAACAACATGTTGACATATCTCAGTGGAAAAAGCACAGATGTAAATAAGAAAATTGGCTTTTTCGGTCTCAGCGTCCTGCTATTGCATATGCTGGCTCTATGTCATGGCTTACTGGCAAACACAACAAATTATCTGCTGTGAAAAAGGCCAAACCCTACTGAGAGTACTACAAAGAACTCAAAATCCCTCTGGGTGCCGTGTAAACACAATGAATGAGATCCAAACAATGGGAAAAGCAAGAACTACACATTCCTGGGAAAGTAAGATGTTTGTTGAGTCCCACCTACCTGACCACAGGATTCCCGCTGAAGAGAATATACACGCCCGCTTCCTTGTTGTTAAAGATCTGGTTGCTCCGAATTGAACCTTTCCCATTGCCAAGGACAACCACCCCTGAACGCAGACCACTGTGTATTTTGTTGCACTGTGGAATGAAAGACAGAATCAGAGGGAAAAAAAACGGAGTTACGATTTAATCTAATGTGAACTTCTGTGCATCACTTTTACTGTTTTATCGGCCGATGTCTGTGCTCACACGGCCAACACATAAAACATGTCGGTTCAGACACATCTGCAGGCAGCCTTGTCAGTGTGGCTGTGGAACGATGTTGTACTATAACTTTCAAGCATCCTGGTGTACACATATGCCTGAGTTTCCTATAGAACAGAATTCTACATTGATTTTCTTGGTTTTGACAGAGGCAGCCCAGCTCTCCAGATAAAGGCATCAACCGAAGAAAATCCGATACTGGTCGACCATTATTTCATACACACAGGATCCGTTTTTCTTATGGACACCTCTTTATTTGCACAAAACAGCTTCTTCGCGTCATTATTTGACAGCCTACAGGCTCTGAAGTTACTGATAAAATGTAAAGGGCAAGGGTGCAAGGTGAGCTCTCGTTCACAGCACTGTGAATGATACGCTGTTGGAAGCTCTGGAATAAAGCTAGAAAGTTGAGGTTGTGTTAAAATTATTTTGTCAAACGTGGGTATTGTTTGTTTCTTCCATTAAAGAATCCGACTTCAACAGGCCGTGAGGCAGTAATTACCACGATGATGGGGTTAGCCCCTTTTCGGATGTCCAGCCCCGCCTCCCCATTCGAGTGGATGTTGTTTTCTGCGATGAGGCCCTGAGCAGAGAGGCGCAGGAACACACCTGAGGCACGGCACTCACACACCTCGTTTCTCAGCATTACTATCTGAAGGAGGGGAAAGAGAAGGAGAGGGAGCTCAAGTAACACTTTGAACAGGAAACCGCTGCTTAATTACTCATGATCTGAGCTACTTAATACATGACTCAAACGGTACGTAACGCTGCCTGTTAAAGTCACTGAACATATGCAATTGAAATGTCTAAATAAATGTTAATCTGATCTTATTTACTGTGGAGTTCTGGATGCAGCGGACAGCATAGTTGAGCCCACGGAAAACATTCCCCTCCAGCCGAGCTTGTCCGTAATTGGATAAATGCACGCCGCCCTTCCCTTCCCTGAAGAGGCAGCGTCTGAGGATACAGCCGAGGGTGGATGCTGCCAACATCTGAGCCTCTGGATCCCGGTCTAGTTCTTGCTGAAAGGTGTGGGGTTCAGGGGTCACGGATGGGGGATCCGGGGAGGAGGCGAACGGCAGAGAGCCATCGGGCCGGGCCTTGAGCAAATGGGATAGACCATGATGGTCACATGGGATTTTGTAATCCGATGTGAATTGGTTTTTGGTGTTGTTGGTTCCTCCTCCATCTTGGTTCTCCTCTTCTCCCTCGCTGTGGTCGCCGTCGCTCCAGCAGTCTTCAATCACGGTGCCCTGACACACTGCATCTACCCCGGTCCTCCTCTGCCAGTCTTCTATGCTCACATGCTCCTTTTTGACATTAGCACCTGGAGGTTGATGCCCGCCAGTGGAGCCAGCCAGACGGCCTCTGGGAGGGCTGTTGTTGTTCCCAGATACGCCACATGAAGGGAACGTCCTGGCCAGGGCAGCCAAGTGTTTACAAGCCCAGTTCCTTTCTGAAACTGGAGGACCTTCAACAGTCACGGAGGCTGTGTCACTTCCAGAGAAGTCACAGCTGTCCAATAAACTGAGTACAACACCCAGCAAGTGGGCAGAGCTGCCTTGTGAGAAGGAGCAGAAACGAGCCTGGCAGGTTCCCGGGCCGCGGACTTGCAACTGAGCCCCCTCGAAGTTGCAGTTATCCAGCTGGACGTGACCCCATGATGTCTAGAGCAAAGGAAGCAGATAAAGGTGACTGGGTCAAACAGATTCAGTATAATTGTGACCTGAGAATAAGTGTAATTAGACCTGATTTTATAAAGATATGATAGAGTGTAATGAGACGCTGCTGTACAAAGAAACCATTTTGACTTTCTTCTTTACCTTATAGACCACAGTGGAGAACCAGGGTGGCATGAACACCAGATTACACAGCCTGGCAGTGGGGCACTGCTGCTCCATACACACCAGGAGGGCCACCTCACCCAACCGGCCCAGCCCAACCAGCTCCACAGGCACCTTCAGCGCCACTTCAGCCTGCTCCTCATATACCCCCGGATGGAGAACCACACGGTCATATGGCCCCACCACCCCGAGGACCCCGCGAAGGGTCTCAAACTCGCACCCGGGCCCCACATGCCAAACCCTGCGGTCTTTTCTCCGACGGAAAAAGAGGAGGCAGGCGGAGGACTGGAGCTCCGGGCCATTTTGAGTCCAGGTGCGGGTGGCCAGGGCATGCTGCTTAAGGGCCTCTCTCCAGGATGGGGGCTCCACATGGGGCTGACTGGGCCAGTTGGGATGTCGGCACTCGGGGCAGCCTAGGCACAGTTGTCTCCAGCGGGTGTTATCAAGAGAGAGGACGAGCTCCCGCCAGGCACGGCACACCTGGCAGCAGCGGCCCAGGTCAGGGAGAGGGAGGTAGGCCAGAATAACCCTCCACAGCTCCACGGGGAGGCTGCCCACCTCCATGGCAGCAGAGACGCCGGCTGGGGAGCACCGCGACGGGAGGGGCACCTGGAAACAGTCGGTCACACGCAGGCGCAGTTAAGGCGACAGGAAACCCGCTAGCGCCAACCGTTACACAACAACAACAACAACAACAACGACAACAACAACAGAGATGACGCCGTGAATTCTGGAACGTCGTTACGCGTTTTTAAAGTTCACCTCACTTAATATCTCCTCGCGAGCCTGCACCGTTACGTTTAAAGTGTTCTAATGGCGGTTAGCAACCGTTAACCGTCAATTGCGCACGAACTAACGTTAGGCTTACATCACCAGACACACGGGAGCATCGTATCCGTCAGAAAAATAAATAAATAAAAGCCTTACCTTTTTACCAAACTGCCATAGTTAGATGAATGAACACATCGGGTTTCGATGTTCAGAGAAGAGCTATCTATCGATCTGTTTTTCGGGCCTTACATGTCTGCGATAGCGACTTTTCCCTCACTGCTTCCAGAGTTCATAACAATCCATGGCAGATGTGCCATCGAAATGGAGTTCAATTGCTTCCAGTTTACGGCAAGAGACCACGAAACAAACAGAGAGCTGGTCCGTCTTCCGCTTCCCATGAGTGGGCGTTAACCTTGTGGAAGCGGACCGCTGTTAACATTGTTGTTAACCAGTTCAAATCCAATGTAACTTAATTAATAATGTGGTTCAGTCCAACCGCATGTCGCCCCTCACATCTCTTGTCTCCAGGTCACACCCTGATGAAGTACGGTGCCTTTTCCACAATACTCAAACATTTGGGACTCATTGCCCCCCATTCTTTTGTTGTCTTATGATCAGGTAAAGCCTCAGTTTGGAGGAAAATGTTGTTGTGTCACACTGCGGTGTCAAATAATTATTAGCCAACAATGGGAGATAATAAACTATATACTGTAAGATGTCCCATGATGATTATTTATATTTAATTTCTACATGTACAGTTTAGTTTTTGTCAAGTTGCTCAAATATTTGCACACCATTCTTACCTGAATATTGCATAGTGTGTATATATCATTTATAGTCTTATATTTTTTATTATGTTTTGTAATATCTTGTTTTACCTCCACTTCTATACTTTTGCACTACATTGCCCTGTGCTGCTGTGTCAATTTTGAATTTCTCCTAAGGGGGATCAATAAAAGAACATCTTATCTGATATTACATACCTTACAGTAGCCTATTGGTAAACGTGCTTTCATTGCATTATAACAATATAAGTTACAGTTCCACTCAGGGTTATTACTTTCTTTATACAATATACACAAATACATTTTTAAACAACTTTATGTTTTTAATATACTTTATTATTTTTTTTTAATTTACATATTATTTCCCTTTAAATAAATATATAACAATGGTACATGTCATAGCACGATAACAAGGGGACATAAATCATCATCTGTTCCTCTTTTGACGTGCTTAAAGAGCCAATAGGTTCCGTTTTAATTCAGCTGCCCCACAGCACAAAGGGACCACAGTATAGTTCATTTGGTGATCAACACCAGTTTACTAGTGCAAGAGCCAGAAGCAGACAGGCAAGAAAAAAACAGGCGAACATATCGAAAAGGAGTAAAGGCAGACGGGCAAGGGTCCAAGACAAAACAAACAGGCTGCAGTTCTTAACAAGAAAAAACTGGCAAGCAGAGAAAAAGACTGTTAGGAAATCGAGGGGGTTGACTGGTTAGGAAGATAGTAAGGGGATATTGGGGAATGGATGTGCAATAGGGTGTGTGAATGGTGGGAACACTAGGTTACTGTAGGACAGGTGGGAGTGGCTGGAGAGCTTGGGCTGGGAAAGTAGGATGATGTTGTGACATGTATTTCACCAGGTGATTTGATCTTTACTTTACAAACTATTCTCTTCTGTCAACACCAAAAAACAAAACAAAAAAAACTCTCTGTCTGTCTATAATAGGATTGGTTTGTGACATACAGGTTTATGGTATTATCTGAAGGTAAATCTTCATAATGCACAGGTGAGCAATGCACATAACATTTACAAAACAACAACCTCTATATTAGTAAATAACTGATATGTTAATGAGGTAATATCCCACGGCTGCAGGAGAAGGTAGCAACTTTAAAATTACCTCTTTTATTTGGTACCATTGGAAATTCTGACAATTAATAATTAAGAATTAATAATAAGGATAAAGTTCATACAGTGCTCGGATGCACAAATGAATTTCTAAAAATGGAGATGCTCCTAGTCCGAGTTAAAGCACTGTCACGCTTAGACCACACAGCATCAATGGTTTGACTGATTCCCTCTATTCCCTCTCTGCCCTTTTAATAACAATAAATAATTGCCAAATTCGGCTGAGTTTCTCTAGAATCTGCAGATGACGCTAACATTTGCTGAGTAGCCTTTGCCAGAATCAACAGCACTGATCGAGTTTGCCTTGGGCAAGGGACAGAAAGATTTTTTTTTGGATTGCACTTTTAGTGATTAGGTACAGCTGTGTGAAGCCAGTGAAGGGGTGCAGTTTAACAAAAGGATCAGTGATTGTAGTCCTGATGGTGTGCACCTTTGTCCAGGAGGTGGCGATGTCCTTTCACTGAGAATGTAATCTCATCCTGTAGGCATACTTTCCTTCAAGACACAAGAAACACTGTTTGAAATGTTGTCAAAATCCTTTTCTCAGCAAACATAGCATGTTTTTTGTCCATAACAAACCTCCCAAAAACTGGGAATGTTTATCAGAAGAGAGTGGAGAGGATAATCAATGACACAATATTTATGTCTCTATGATGCAGGGATGAAGTGAAGGGACACAGCAGTGTTTAGTGGGATAGTTTTTTTCCATACAGACCTTTTAAAAAAAAAAAAAAATGTTTTATCTGAAAACAGCATTTGGCAAGTTACTTTGTATGTCGTTTCAAGAGACAAATATATTTTCCAACCTCTCTGTGTGATTAATGTGGAGTCCAATATGAAAATGTCATGTTTCACGTTAATGGCAATGTCAAATTAAATGTTTGGATGGCATTTACATCCATGTTTTCATCATTATGGTTAATCATTATTATGTGGTTTACACAAAAGAGACTAGCTGGAGCATATTACATTGAAAGATAGAAAAATGTGACACTACTGCACATTAATGGACTGTATTATGTTATATTTATTATTATTATTATTATTCCAGCTGTTCTCTTTATTACTTCTTTAGTATATTTAAGTATTTTGATTAAATCTATCTTTAAACAATGACTTCTGTTGCTTCATCCTCCCTATACGCTATGAGGAAATGAGAAATTACAGTGAAAAAAGAAATGAAAAGGACACAGAGAGAGATTAACAGATTTCTGGTTTATAATGTCACATTTTATTCACAAGCTCAATATTTTAGATAAAAGTGTATGTATGTTTTTTAAGAAAGGTGTACACATGACTTTGATTATTTTTATTGTGCATTTCATCACAGATTTCCATTATATATCCTGCTGCACATTTTAGATGTAAGTATTTTAACTTCATACAAAAAAAACTCTTCTTATGTAAGCAGACATATTAGGTGTACATATAGTTCACAAAAAGGTAAGAAAATGTAAAAGCTGGGTATACAATTATACAATTATACAGTATACAATTTAAGCTCAACCTTTTCTAGTTTCGCCAGCTGCCACACAAATCTTTCTCATCACGCAAATTGAGCTGTTTTTGCTCCATCAGTGCAGTCCACGCTTCCACTTTGAACTTTGAATCAGTGGTGATGAATATATGATTCTCTAAAAGGTCCTTCTTTCCATCTGAGCCAAATCTGTGAAGGTTTATTCTTCAAGGTGCCTGCCTACAAAGATAAAATGTACATATGTTATTGCATGGGTAATCTTACTTCACTTACACAAATTTTTTTTATTGAATATGGAATAGATGAATAGATGACTGTTTGCTCGCAATGAAATGAATTCAATACAGGAAATATTAACAACTTTGAAATTAAACACTGTGGCTTGAAGTGGAATGTGATTTCAAATTAGCTGTTTATCCAATTTAGTACATTACATTTAGTAAATGTTTATGAGTTAGACTGAGACCATTCTAGTAGTGACTGGAAGCTTCTGTCTCTAGTTTAAACAACAGGTTAGCCACATTCATTCAGTCAGTTAATGACTAATGGTAAACCCATTTCCTGGAAAGTTACATGCAAACATACTTTTCTATAAACACAACCAATAAATGTTTATACGACTGTCGTAAAATAGCAAGAGCAGAGAACATGAAGAATTCAAAATCTTCTTCAGATAGAATCTGTTCTCATGTTAATCTATTCAGACATTCACAAAAATACAGTGAAGATGAACTTACACAACCAATTTCTTCTCAAGCACCCTTTTGACCCAAGGAGCATTGGGGTCCAGACAAATCTTTTCCCCATTCGATTTAAGAGTGGCACTGCAGGATCAAAGACAGGTCCGAGACATTAGTCACAGCAACATATCCAGTAAGTGTTTTGTGAGTACAAATTACAAGAACAACTGTTGAGCTTTGCACCCAGGGCTTACATTATCTCAATATCGTTGCAGTGGGAGGTGGCAGGGTTCACCTCAACCTGTCCTATGAAACGGCCAATGCGCCTTTTCTCCGTGGTGATGCATCGACATCGAATCACTTCTTGATTACTACTGAAAACTGAGGTAGTAACAGATCAGAGAAAGATATCAATATCTGGGCAGAAGCAAGGTATAAGCATAGTGCAGACCACAAACAGGCACTTGACACAAATCATAGAATGCATGCATGCTGGCATTACTAACAGAGTAAGTCCTTAAATGAATATTGCCAAGACAAACACATGTAATTAACAGATTATACTTACCTTCAGGAATAGTCAAGAAAACCATGAGCGCCACAATAGTGATGAAAGACATATCTGCTCTGAAGCTTGAGTCTGGGATTTAGTAATCTTTAGGACTGGTGTTATGAGTGTCTGCAGACAACCATATAGAGCTTTGTGCTTCCTTCCACTGTTGCAAAATATGATGCAAGTCCACTTTGTTAACCACTCTTCTCATCTGTCCCTCCCTCTTTTATTCCAAGGAATTCTCACAAAGAGTTTTTGGACTAAAATGTATTTACTACTGCTCTATTCTAAGTAATTTTCTTCATGATTCATTTGTTTGTTGAATTATTTTTTGATTACTTATTCCACTGTAGTAGAGGTATAGTTAGCAACCCTGGGGGATATTTTTAAACATTTAATTTTCTGGGGAAAGAATTTTCTGGTGAAGGGTTCTAGGATTCATGATTCACTTTTCTCTGTGCCAAAATTAAATGTGTATTTATCTTTACCATCTCTGTCCTGTTGTTTTTAGGCATCTTGAAATATGCTGTTTGATTTATAACCTCAAAAAGCCTTGCAACACAACTGAGCAGATTCACTTATATCCTCCCTCAAACAAATCACAGGAGTTTGCAGAAAGAGAAAAAAATATTTCTGGGTATAAATGCAATGGGTAAAATCCTGTCAAAGAACAAGAATAAGACAGTTGTGACTTATTAATTTCAATGTTTATATGTGCTGTGTAAAACTAAAGCTGAAGTCTAACTATGCACAGTGCATGAAAGAATACATCTGCAGCTGTAGTTGTCAGTGGTTATGACAAACCAGCCAGCTTGTCCCAGCATGATGCTTAACGTCAGAGGGAGGCGGTTAAACACATGTGGAATGTTAACTGCAGATAGATACCCCAACTCAAAGTTTTGTGTGAGGGGAAAAAGTAGTCAGTCTTCAAACCCTCCTTCTGGCTATTTGTCTATCCTCCCTGTCATTTCCGGTAGTCTCCAGAGGCTGGCTTAGTGTCGGTTTCAGACTCTCACTTCCTCATATTGTATATCATAAATAATAACCACAGTCCAACCAGTATAACTGAAACAAATTGTTATATGACAGTGTAGAGCTTGTAAAGCTCAAGCAGCCGAACTCTCAAACAAAAGATTGGGTGCTGACTAGTTCATGATTCATTCCTGGTTTTCCCAGCTCCTGTTGTTATTCTCAAGTCCTTTGTATGTGGTATCAGTGTGTATTGTTAAGGTGCATGTGCCTGTTTGGTTTGTAAACACACCTTAAGATAAGACAGTGATAGTGAATGAGTAAGGCTAAATGCCATTCAAGACAGAGCAACCTTTCTCTAAATCTGCACTATACCACACAATACTCTTCTATATATGTCATGCTATGGAGTGCTATGCAATACCTTAATGGTTTTGCAATGTTATGCTAACTTATACCAATTTGTCTTTATCATTCTGAAACCAGAAGATACATGTTGAGGATGACTAATTTTGACTCCTCCCACATAAAAAGAGACAAAAAATTGTTGGATTTTTGATTTACATGACATAGGTATGGTAGGAATTCACAGGATGAATGTTTAGCTTACAAATCTGCCACATGTGAATCCATTCCATAATCTGTAATAACCAGTAAGAGGACTTTTGCTCTAGAGAGAGACTTAGGGGAAATGACACAATGTTGAAGATATTTGACAGGCCTAAAAGATTAGGCTTTTGAAAAAAAGAATTGAGGCTGGAGCCCCAGAAGCCACTGCCCCTCATGCTAATGATAAGATAGATAAGATAGACTTAATTGATCCCACACTGGGGACATTCCCTTGTTACAGCAGCTCCAGATAGAACACAGCAGATAGGAAAAACATTAAATACACATTTAATAACAAAATACAAAAATACAATACAAGAAATAAAGAATAAAAAAATAGAATTAGGGCTGTATGTACACTATATGCAGTGTTTTTTTATACAGATGTGATTTAAATAGAATATTGCACAGGTTACAGTAGGAGGTAGTGGCGTATTGTAAAAATTAATAATTTTTCTGGACAAAAAAAATATATATATACAGCAGTAATTTAGCATGAAGGCAATATGTGACACAGCTTTGAATTAGTCAGTCCAAAGCCAGTGCTAGAGCAGTCGCAAAGAAGTCTTCTTCAGGCACTGCTCCATTTCTTTGCACTTGACTTTAAGCCCACTTGTGCTAGGGTAGGTAGTGCTGCTGATATTGATAATATTGTCAGTGTTTTCTGCATGCTGTCAACACTAACGTGAAAATTAGCACTAAACACAAAGTGCAATGAGGCTGATGGTTTTGTAGATAGTTAGTACTGGACAAATTTAAACTTTGACTTGATGAGAGCCCTTATCACCGAAGGTATTACAATTAGTTATTCCAATTAGGTATTCCAATAGTTGTCAAGACATTTCACTCTCCTAAAAGTCAGGAGTCACTGGAGTCAGTAAGGTACATTGTCTGGGAACCGTGGGTGTGCTAAGTTATCTAATAGATAATGTTCTTTAATCTTTACTGTAATCCCTCTTAGTTTTAAAGTAAAGTGCTATTACCGTAAATGGTAAACCATAATCACGATGCAGTGCCACTTCAGTTTTGTTCAGGTTGAATATTTACCACAGTTAAGTGGTTTTGTACTTTGTATGAAAGTTTTAGATAAGGTCAAGAGGAAGTTTTGGAATATCCAAACATCTATGTATCATACTGTCAAAGAAGATTGCATCTTACTTCCTCTTATGATTCAGCGAGCTTGTTTCCTCTATATTTCTGTGACCCTGCTCCAAAAAATAAAATGCTACAATTTAGATATGGAATGAAGGAATGAAAGTGATGTGTCTTTATATGTACATGAAAACATGAAATGCCATAAAATACATGAATCCTAAACATTTGTCTCTTCGCTATATTTTTTTATATACTGAATCTTTGTTTGAATATTTTTATATTTATATTCGGGTAAATTTGGGGAAAGACCAACAGATAAAAATTATGTTGTTTCCTAACTTATGCAAGTCACATGCCATCATGCTGACATGTTGTCATGCTATTTTCACTCATCTCACCACATACATTGGTGTCCATGACATTGATGCAATGTTAAATCAAAAACTTTCCAATTATGTTCATCACATGCTTTCAGTACAGTAAAAAAAGAGATAAGGACATAATTCTAGATATGAACTGGTCATACCGTCTGGCCTGTCTGAGATTTAGATGTTCAATAAATAAATACCGTACAGACGTATTTTGCCACCTGTCCAAAGGCTTCCATTCATCATGAATTAAGTTTAAGTGGGGCAATAGCTGAAGAATTCATGTGACAAAGCCACAAGATTGGCCCCCCTGTGCAGAAGTTACTCCATACTTCCTTCTGTTTTGTGAAAGTGGCTAGAGTGACGTGATAACTGCAAGAAAATATGTCTGAGCATGTTGTTGCGGTTGTGTTAGACTTGAACCCAATGAAACTTTTGGCACATCGCCTGCTGTCAGAATGTCAGACGCATGAGCCAGCAAATACACTACTGAGGGTCATAATTATCTTGTAATAATGTGCTTTTGATTGATGATGGATAAATGTAGTTAATAAAAGAAGTATAAAGGTTTTCCTTTGTGATTATATCAAATACTCATTTAATGTGATATTCACATTTATTTGTTATTTATTTGTGCACTGTACACTGGAAAGGAGATGAAAATAAAATGTTGATATCAGACAGCATGTCACTCTCTGTCTCGATCTAAAACACAGTATTCATCTATAGATGGACTTTATCAGTTAGATGGCTGACTTTCCATTATTGAACTTTAATAAACATGGCAGTGCATGCAAATTTAAACATGTAGCAGATGTATGTACGTGATATGAGTATGTGAGATACATGCCAACACAAAGTTCATGAATGGACACAACAAATTACCTTGAAGGTGACACTTAAGATGACAAAACCTGAGGGTTACATCCGTCAGCCACTCATTCACAGATTGCATATAATTGTTCATTTTATTGCATGCAATCAGTGAATCAGTTGTCGGTTGATCAATAGCTACTCTGTGAGTTTGGTGTGACAAATAGTTCAATCCAGTACCATCAGCAATGTCTAACTTACAAAGAATGTATCTAAAGCATTCATGTCACAAATCAACAAATATATTACAGATTTTTAGTCACTGTGTTTTTCCAAATTATAATTTGAATCAGTGACCCATATTTCCCCTTGACTGCTTCAGTTAAATCCTTCACAGGGTAAATTCCCACACTTAGTTGCCAACAGTCCCAGCTTGCGCAACCTTCCTGAGCCAGGGAGGTGATTCATTTCAAGGCGCTATAAAGGGAGCGACTTTCCTCTTCAGCACTAGATTCAAACAGCAGAGCGAGGAAGCAGCTGAACCAAGAAAAGGAAAAGTAGAGGAGAAAAGGAACTGAGCAAAAGAAGAAGCAGAAGTAGAATAAGAAACTTCTTTACTTTTACACAGTACATCAGGCTTTTTTAGACAGCTTTCTGAAGGACATTCCTATCCTTTAGTGTTATTTGTTGCAGAATTTGTAAAAGGCAAAATGATGAGCAGCAAAGTCTTCGTCACATCTATTGTGGTGCTCCTGGCCTTCGTGGCTATAAGTGAAGGTAAGGTTTTGTTTTTCAATAAGTGAACGTAACAGTATTGTTGCACTTGCAACTGTCACTACTGTGCACATTTTTCTCAATGCATAAAGAGTTATCAATACACACTGTTGCACATTGTGACCATATATGTCTCCTAACAGGGATGAGTCTGAGAAGCCTGGGAGTGGAGCTGCACTGCCGCTGTATCCAAACAGAGAGCAAACCCATCGGCCGCCACATTGGGAAGGTGGAGCTGATTCCTGCTAACTCCCATTGCGAGGAGACTGAGATCATGTAAGACCTAGTTTCAAAGCCTTCATCCCATCTAGATAGCGATGGTGTTGATAATTTGAGATTTTGTCGTAGTTACATGTTGACTTTGTCGAATTGTTCTGACTGCCTGCTGTTTTTGTGTAGTGCCACTTTGAAAAAGACAGGCCAAGAGGTTTGCCTGGACCCCGAGGCTCCCTGGGTGAAGAAGGTGATTCAGAAGATTCTGTCCAAGTAAGTACAGGTCAATCATACAGTACGAACACAGTACTGCCATGATTTAATTGGATATTGAGAGAAAGAGTTCACTTTTGATACATGAATTCATTTTTCTTTTCTGTTTCTTTTCTCTGCAGCAGAAGACGTTGAACAGACGGAGATGTGTTTCATGAGTCTGAGCTGTTAGACAAAGAAAATTACCAAGATGTATTTGAGTTTGATGAAATGATAAAGTCATCACACTTCTCTCATTTCAATATCAGAAGACTGCTTAATGTCATTCTTAATCAACTGTTGTAAATGACAACAGAATTCAACCTCTTGTTTGTATCAAACACTATTTATTATTATTATTATTCTTGTTTGTAGGGCACTCGTGTTTGTTACAGTTCTTTAACTTATGTGTTTAACATATTTATTAATGTATTTATGAAATGTACTAGTATCTGGATTAAATAAAGAAGTTCAAATGAAATTGCAAATGGAATTTGTGTTCTTTCTTATTAAGTATCTATCTATCTATCTATCTATCTATCTACTATCTATCTATCTATCTATCTATGTGTATATATATTGTCTTCTTTGCTGTTGCTTTTTGAATATTCCTTAAATTCATACATAATGAATTATAAATAATCAATAATAACAATATGTAAAACACAATGTAAGCATGAAAACCTTAACAAAACAGAAATTCTTACATATAATATATTAAATACTATATTGTAACACAAAAAATAATAATGTCATGCTTTGTCAATACAAGAAATTTTCTTGTACGCATCAAGAAGTATGACTGTGTTCTACTTCCTTATGGAAGTTTTACAACATTAGAGGTACACCACATGATGCTGCAGTCAGCAAACCTAGACTGTACTGTGGCCTTAGCTCACGTGACTTACAGTTCGCTTTCATTGTTCCAACCCCTGCAGATATAATCATTACTATGTTACTGCTGCAACAATATTGTAATTTACAGCTTGAAAAAAGGGGGAAAGCTTCTTTAAAAAAGAACTGAAGGGACCCCCGACAATTCAGTGTTGCACCTTGTTAAAGATGGGGGACTCACAACAGAAGAAATGCTGGATCCTGGGGTGCCTTGATAACTGACCTGATAGAGCTGGTGCCCCAGGTCCAACCTGTGGCCCTTTGCTGCACGTCATCCCATGTTTTTCTCTATTTTGAGCTGTCATATCCAATAAAGGCAAAAAAAAGCCCCCAAAAAGTTGGTCAACAGAAAAACTTTGATGACATTTTAATCGTTAATTTTAAAAATAACAACCAAAAACAGTGAGAGATTGTAATCATTTTTAAACTAATTTTTGACATTTTGTAGTCAAAACAATTAATAGCTTCATTGAGAAAAATCTGCAGACTAATTTAACATGAAAATTCAGCTCTGCTCTACAACCTCATTTTATAATGCACTTTCCTGTTAAATAATGTCTTTGAGGTGGAATAACCCAGATTAAATCATGAGGGTGATTTTCTCAGACTTGACATGAGTTCTCTTTGAACAACTCAAAACTTTTTCAATGCAAACAAAATCATTTTGCATATTCAGCATCTACAGTTCATTTAATCAAACAACACTGAATGTCTCCCATTAATATTGAGGGGTTCCTGACTTGTTGAACAATCAGGAGGCAGAGGCATGGTGTGGCCATGTTTATGGGCAGCTCTTATCTCAAGCACACTGCACAATGAAAAAACATGAGAATTAACCC